GAATCAAGTAAGAGTTAAAGTTTACTCATATATATATATTATTGGAAGAAAACATAAAGTACAGAACCCAATGCAAACATTTTTGATTTGTCTTTGAATTTGTCTAGTCTATAAGCATTTATCTGATGCTTTTATCTCTTCTGTAATAAATTTCTAGAGTCTGAATATATATGTTCCTGAAATGATAAGGGTTCAAATGCTTCATAATAAATAAGGAAGCCATATAGTGATCATATGATTCAAGAGTATAAAAACTTTTTTTTGGCTATTTGTCTCTAAATATCCATTCACCAGTACACAGTACTCCAATACACAATATCCTTTTTTATTTTATTGATTTTTTTACAGAGAGGAAGAGAGAGGGATAGAAAGTTAGAAACATCGAAGAGAGAGAATCATCGATCAGCTGCCTCTTGCACACCCTCTACTGGGGATGTGCCTGCAACCCAAGTACATGCCCTTGACCGGAATCGAAACTGAGACCTTTCAGTCCGAAGGCCACTCTATCCACTGAGCCAAACCGGTTTTGGCACAATATCCTTTTTTAAGAGACTACTACAAATATTTGCTTAAAGCAACATAGACATAGCTTCTTGATCAAATATTGGTTTCCATGCAGTCTTCCTACATTTGTTGAATGGTGTTAAGAGGTCCTATTTAGATCTTCACAAAGCTTCATTAAGCACAGTAGAAAATTTTTCAGTACTTAATGTTTTAAAAATACATTTCACAGATTTATCATTTAGATAAACAAAAGTAGACTGTGGCATGTTATTATGCAAACTAAAATGTCTTGTAAATAAAAGACATCAGTTATCACTATCAGCATTATCATCAAATCCAGGAATTATAAAATAAATGAAGTGAATTAGAAAAATGTTTTTGGGAAAAGTACAAATCCTTACATCATACTTATATTTATAATTCACATCCATTTGTTTGTTAAGTTGGTTATTATGTCTCCTCCTCTAGATTGTCAATCATAAAAATAGAGAATGTGTTTTATTTATGTGTGTCTGTATGTGTATTTGTTTATATGTATGTGTAAACATGTACTGTATACACATAACACATCCTGTGTATGTATAATATATGTAGGTGTATACATATATTTTGTGTGAATAGTGTGCTACTGGTAATAAGCTTTTGTTGAATTAATGAAATTTTAAAAGCTAGTCTATAAACACTTATCTGATGCTTTTATCTCTTCTGTAATAAATTCCCATCAGCACCACAACATATGTACATAGGTGGCCTTGGAATGAATTCTCTCCACTGCTCAGATGTGTTTTTTTTACTTTCTGAATTACTGTAACTCAAATATCTCATACATCCTTTTGAATAAGTATGTTTTAAAAAAAAGTAAGTTTGAAATTTTCATTTATTGCTAATTAACCTCTCCTATTTTTCAGCATCTGTTCTTTGGCTCTAGGCATATTTTATTGTACATCAACCCAGGAATGTTGACAGTCTATGATGGACCAGGCAATATGTTTGGCACTGGGAATGCAGAAAGCTGTCTGCTTAACTGAAGAGATATAATTGAAAAACAAATAATAATACAGAGAAGTGCCAACAGCAATATAAACAATGTCTTATGCAAGTTTGATAGGAAGGCTGTGCTTCAGGAACAATTAAGATGCAGGATGTGAGGGTAGGAGAAAAATTTCACAGTAACTTTGATCAGAATCTTGAAAGAAGACTATAATGTCTTACCAAAGGTGGGAAGGAACATTAATTGGAAGCATATAGTGATTATACGTATAATTCAAAATATGACAACTCTTGAAGACAGAGGACACATGTACATAGGTAGTCTCCCTGCCACTCTTTTTATTTAGCTCTGCAACTGTATCCAGAAGACAAATGAACCATCAAGCTGCTTTGTCCCACGCTAACAGTTCTAAATTGAAAATTTCATCATTTCTTCCTCTTGTTTAATTTTCACTCAACTCTCCTAATGAAGTTCAAATATTTTAATCTGGTACAAAAGTCCTTTTGTAGTCTGACTGTTCACTTCATTTTTATCTGATAACTAGAGGTCCAGTGCACAAAATTCGTGCATGCAGTGTGGGGGGTGTCCCTCAGCCCAGCCTGCACCCTCTCTAATCTGGGACCCCTAAATGGGCAGTTGGACATCCCTCTCACAATACAGGACTGCTGGCTCCCAACTGCTCGCCTGCCTGCCTTCCTGACTGCCCCTAACCGCTTTTGCCTGCTAGCCTGATCACCCCTAATCACTCTTCTGCCAGCCTGACTGATGTCTAACTGCTCCCCTGCCAGCCTGTTTGCCCCCAACTTCCCTCCTCTGCCGACCTGGTCACCCCCAACTGCCCTCCCCTGCAGGCTTGATTGCCCCCAACTGCCCTCCCTTGCAAGCCTGGTCTCGCCCAACTATCCTCTTCTGCTGGCCATCTTGTGGCAGCCATCTTGTGTCCACATGGGGCAGTCATCTTTGACCACATGGGGCAGCTATCTTGTGTGTTGGAGTGATGGTCAATTTGTATATTACTCTTTTATTATATAGGATGCACAATAGTTATTTGTAAGTATATCTCAATTCTCTTGACCTTTGCAAGGGCTATATTCTCAAACCCTAGAATATTTCCTTCTAATAATTCTACTTGCTTTATAGTGCTAAATTCAATTATTGTATTTGCAGAGAAGCTTTTATAAGATTGTGTGGTTACTCTTCTAGCACCTTGCTTTTAGTATTTTATTTTTACACTTATCAGAGTGTGCCATCATGTGGCTTATTGATTTGCTTCTTGCCTCTGAGGTCTCTACTGCTGATAATCATATCTTTAATCTCTACCTTACTGTGGAGAGTAGCAGATATATGGACTAGCAAAAAAAAAAAAGTAAACTCTGGGGTAATTTAAATGATTCTCTAGTACCTTAAGAAAGTTAATGATCTCCATATTCTCCATATTAACTAGCTATTAACTCTTTAGAAATCATAAAATTTAATTATTCCAAAGAACTTTAATGCTATCTAATGTAATGTTTTTAAACATATTTTTTTTTACCATGACCCACAATAAAAAAAAAAAAAATTCTATATCATAGTATGGGACACACACATAAGCAACAGTTTCATAATATAATACTTACACTTACTAATTTACTACTTGGGATATATTAAAATATAATAAAATTAATATTGGATAGTAGCTCATCATTATTTAACACAAAAAACACACAAACAAAATAGTACCAAAATAAAACAAATAATAAACCATTAAAAAATAGCTTTGTTATTATTCAAAACAATGATTTCAAGTCCCAATAATGGTGACAACCTCTTCCCTATTTATTTTACAGTAAACTCTCTCCACAGTTTATAACTAAAAAAGTGAAGTCTTGAGAGGTGATTGTTTAGACAAATAAATGTAAAGCTGAATCTATATACATCTAAATCTCATGCTACTACTCCTACTACACCACAATGAAAAAGAGACAACTTCTGCTAAGAAGCTTTGCATATCTAGTTCATCTGTTCCTTGATACTTTATATCTTGGGCAAAATGAATTCCATTAGTAATCATTTTATCTTATCTCACTGGCACAATCCATAGTTTTTGACAATATCATCCTGGAATGCAATTAGAAAGAATATTTAAAATCCTCAAACCTATAGACTCTGAATTAAAGCTGATGAGGCTCAATATAGAAATTTCATGTCTGCAATGAAATTTCATGTCATTTTTCAGAGTGGAAAAATGAGTGAGTGGAGATGACGTCAAAAATTGAAAAGAGGAAAACCAGGTTAGCAGAAAAGCCATACACACAATTCTGGAAAAAAATGAGAACAGAACTTCAAATTCTCTGCTTATTAATTTTTTAAAACTAAAATCATTAGCTTTTAATAGTTATATAAATATTTGTTAAATATAATTATAAGCTTTTTTCATTGCACTTTTTTTTTTTTACTCTCTTCTTATCTTGGTAAATGAGAAATACACTTCCCTGTCTTTAATAAAAATTTTGGATAATATGTTACATCATGCTAACATGAAAGGGTCTGTGGTGGGACCCATGTGCATGACTCATGCTGTTATTTGAGAGAGCAAAACACTTATCAGATAATGTCAGAGCCTACAAGCCTAAAGTATTATATTTCATTAAAGACAAAATCAAATAACTGAACACTTATAATTACCACAAAATCATGAACACACTTGACACATTAGTCAGTGCAGAATATGTGGGAAACTAGTGTCAGTAGAGAAATCCAGAAGCTCTGTAAGAAGTCTAGTTAGACTAAGCAGGAGTTTAAATGAAATCACTCTGATCAAATAGCAGTTATTCACTAACAAATCTATAAAGCAATAGCCTGAAATTGTCTAGATATAAACATATACAAATTCTTTGCCTTACATTTATTAATTAATCAATTCATTAATTCATTTTGGAGTTGAATTATGACAAATGTCACAAAGTCTAGATTTTGTTAACTCAATGATGTTAGATACCAATATTTTAATTTTCATTATTTCATTCATATGTTGCTACCATACTTTCCATTGTTTAGTAAGAGAAATAAAAACTCTAATTGACTCCCCTCTTAAATTTATTTTGTTTTTCCAGAGTATACCTCTAAGGCAACATAAGACACAAATTTATACAAAGCTATTTGATCATACTAAATTACATGAACTGTATTAAAAACTTTACTCTTTGAAGTACAGGTTCTTCTAAATGTTTAAATAAAACAATTTATTACTACATATAATTTCCATTTTTATTATTTAGAAAGGACTACATTGGTTCATTTGGTTGTAAAAAAAAACAAAAAAGAAAAAACAAAACAACAAAAACTCCTATACTTAAAAACAACAAAATAAAACTTTTAACACAAAAGGCAATAACACATGAAAAACTCTTATTTTTAAAGCACTCTCCACCAACCACCACCTGTACTTTATGACCCACGAGGTGTTAACCTCTCTCCCTGTAGATAACCCGACTGAGAAAAGCAAGCTACTGTGAGTACTTACGCATACATCATGGACCCAGAACTGGGGCAGCTTCTATCCAGACACCATCTGATCTATATCAGCCAGGTCGGGGCTAGGAGGCTGGAAAATAATCACAGTCAATGGTAAGAAGAAAAGAAACAAGTCCAGCAGGTTCAGTGACTGAGGTCTGCAACCAAGACATAGTCTGATAAGAACATGATCGATGTTGTGACAGCCGGGTTCCGCAGAGGAGCTCCAAGCAATGAAGGCCACAAGGTGCAACTGCAGGTGATTCATGGAGGCCACACTTTTCCAGTTGGGGAGGTATGATCGGCACTGAGGCGTGGCCCCAATGTGTTTTGAAAAAAACAACAACAAAATATTAGAGTACATTGGTGGCACTTCTTCATTGGGATTGTGTATCTCTTCCCTTTGAGGGAACCGTGAGTGATGGTGGTGTAGGAAAGACCAGGGCTACAGGCCAGGATGCTTGTTTTTGTCACCTTGATGGTGTGACCATGGGAGAGCTGCTTAGCTCCTGGGGACTTATTTTCCTCACAGAGTAGAATGGCAGAGCCGTAGAAGCTTTTTCTAACACTGTCCATTTTAGCTCCAAATAGAACAGATTTTATTGTAAGAATGTACCCCCAAAAAGGAAAAAATTTTTTCCACAACAACGATAAATACTTTAGTCTTAGTGCATGTGAACTCCCCATTATTCGTACATATTCACTTTAGATAATTATATTCATCCACAGACCTTAAGTCTCAATACACAAATGTCCAATGAAGATCAGTAAAGTTGTAGGATGGATACATTTTTAAATGCATTTTTATTTATTTCAGAGAGGAAAGGAGAGGACGAGAGAGAGATAGAAACATCAATGATGAGAGAGAATTATTGACCGGCTGCCTTGTGCATGGCCTGCCCTGGGAATGGAGCCCAACCTGGGAATATGCCCTGAACTGTGTTAGGGGTGTCGAACTCAATCAGAGAAGGGGCCAAAATCTAAAATCCAGCCTAAATCGCGGGCCGAATGGTTTACTGAACAGTCATAAACTGTCATTGTGATGGAAACGCAGCGGAGTGCAGTGATGACAGCGCGGTGCGGGCCACATTGCAAGGCCTGGCGGGACGGGTTTGGCCCGCGGGCCTTGTGTTTGACACATGTGTATCTAGTTCATAGGTTGATGCTCAACCACTGAGCCAAGCCAGCCAGGCAGGATAGATAATTGTAAGAGTTACTTTTAAAGTTTCTAAGCCAGGGGAAAAAAAGCTATAAACACACATTGTGTTGTTCATACAGAGTTACCTTTATTTAAAATACTGCAAATACTCTAACATTAAAACTTCATATAATAGACTGCTAAGCATTAATATGAATATATTTCCTAAAACACTTGCAAATGGAAAACTGAAGCAGACTGACAGTATGTATAATCATCAACAATATAACAAAAGATGTGAAAATATATTTTGGGACGAAAAATAAATCTCTGAATAAATATTTCACAAAACTTAACAGATCACTTAATTAAATTGAAAATATTAACTTACTTTAGCAAAAGTAACTTTGTTCTTTGAGTGTTTGATTTTTCTCGAGTAAAAACTTATAAAAATCTAACAAAAAGGTACGAAAAAGTTATTAGTTTATGATTATGACCCATTATTATTTTGATTTTTTATATAGTAGTACTTGTGCTAACTTTAAATTCGCTTTGTGCAAATATGCTTTTAAAATGGTTTTAGTAGTTACATTACAATGTTTCTAATTCATAAACAAATATTTTCATTTTTTTGTTAAAACTCATAAAAATATTCTCAGTTCTTTATATTAGTAAATAATAATGCAGTAGAAAATATACTCTGTGGCTTAAGTGAAGAAAATTATGCTAAGCATGTCCAAAGTAAGAACAGGAGCCAGCTTTGAGGCTTTTGGAATGAGATGTCGTATGTACAATTTCTTCTCCTAGTTAAGAAAGTCAGTATTTTCATATTACACCAGAAGGCTGGGGTGGGGGCTTCCAGAGGTACAGTAATATTTAACTAGTGAACGAGCACAGTAGAAACTATTTTATTTTAAAAACCTCAAAAATAGAGGTTCAACTGCTTCCCACGGGAACCTTTCCTGCTATGCATTCTTTCAAATTATCTTCAATTTGGTTTTAAAGGTTCTATTTCTATGTTTGTTTTCAGCTTTCTCTCCTACTTTCACTTTAAGTGAATATAGGGAATGACTTATTTTTATTCTCTGTGGTGGAGTGGGATGGTGGAAAAAGCACCTGCTCCTGGGTTCAGTTCCTGGTGTTATCATTAACTGAACTTGAGAATGTTCTTAACTGTTTACATTTCAGTTTCTCCCGCTGTAAAATGAGGATAATGCTTGTATGTAGTTTAAATGAGACTTAAAATAGTTCCAGGTCCATAATAAAGCTCTCAAAAATTAGGGATTTTATTCTCTCTCTACTCTCAACCCCTCTCTCCTTCCAGGATTCACTGTATTGCTAATTGCTTTCAGTAGACTTCAAAAGTGATATTTTTCTAACTCTTCTCTCTGTATGGTTCTCTTTTCAACAACACATTGTCTCTAGTCCTTTGCTTTACTTGTGATAAAGACTTTGATGTATTGTGTTCTAATTAATGTAACGTATGAAGATTTTTAAATTAATTTCCTTTTTAAGGCTGAAGAGTGATCAGCTAATTCTGAGGGTTAGCAGGCATTAGTAATTTGTACTATCGTAATGAAATTACTTCATGTGAATTTTATTCCATTGCTTCTCAGCATCCTCAGTCACATGTGGGCAGGCACCATACTGGTTTCTACTGCTGCATTGTTGAGTGATTGATTATCAGTCAAAGACAATGAGTGGATGATGCAAAACATCAATGATGAAAAGGCAGCAATAAGATGACATTGTACCAGGACATTAAGGGGAAAGTTAAGATGCTCCCAAATTGATTGCATTTCTTCAGCATCCAAAATAAAATAAAGGAATAGAAAAAGATAACCAGAGTTTATAATGGAATTGTGTACATTTCCCTGTAATTGCAGACTTGATAATAATTAACTAAATTTATGAACTTAATTAAATAGTCATCAGCCAAAAAATAATTTAATCTCATACTTACTAATAGCCTAAATTTTGAGGGCTGATCTTATATTTTGCTTTGCACTTAGTGAGGCAATTAGTGTACTATTTTTTCCATTGAAGAAAGAGCATAAGAGGATTTAATGAAGGATCACATCTTCACTTATATGAGCACTGCTAAAGGGTGATAAAATAGAAGAGTGGAAACTCTTGAGGGAGAAAATATAATAAGTCATGTGGATTAAAATGGATGGATCATTGGCTTAAAGAAAAGGAGACCAGAGTAGGTAGTCTTTCCCTAATTTATATAATAAAATCCCAGTGGTCGTAACACCATAAGGACCCAAGACCAATCATCAGGAAGCTGCATGTGCAGCGAGGCACGTGGGTGGGCAGGGCCACATGATTTTGCGCGATGACATCTAGTATATTATAAGAATTAACAGAAATTATTTGTCCAGAAAACGAAAGTAACAAAAACTAGGACATTCACTGTAAAATTAACTTCATCTCATTAACATATAATGAGATCATTTACATGTGCTCATTAGATTATGAAATTGAAGCAATCAATAAATAATATACATGCATTTTTTTAAATTTCAATTCATAGATCCTAGAGTTGTTTGAACCAGTGTTCAAGACAACCTTTTTTTCAGATCCTAATTATTTCTTTTGGAAACCTTTTATTTTTAAGCAAAATATATGTTTCACATACAAAAGAAATTATTTTATTTCAATTACTTAATTACTTCATTGTAACTACCTTTAAAGTTGTAAACATATTCTACTATCATTCAAATATAAAATACTAAAATGATGCTCTTGTTGATAAATACCTATAATGGTAATTAAAACAATTTTTGTTTTGTTTTAAGCAGTAGAGTAAGACTTTAGGAGCTAACATAGCATTTTTTTATGGTCTCGTGGTTTTGGAAGTTTCTATTTTTAGTTGTACAATAGTAGAATCAAGTAAACATCAAAGGTGAAAAATATATCAATTTTTATATTCTAGAAATTTTCAAAACCACGAAATCAGTTCAATGGAGTCATTGTTAGAGGATGAGGCTAGAGGGCAGATGTAAACCAGAAATTCTTTTATTTTAATGTAAATTTTTTTTTGGTTAATCAGATATTTTTTCCATTGATTTTTATTTGTTTGTTTTTAATATATTTTTATTTATTTCAGAGAGGCAAGGAGAGGGAGAAAGAGATAGAAACATCAATGATGAGAGAGAATCATTGATCAGCTGTTCCCTGCATGTCCCCTACTGGGGATCGAGCCTACAACCCAGGCATGTGCCTTACCTGGAATGGAAACCTGACCTCCTGGTTCATAGGTCAATGCTCAAGTACTGAACCATGCTGGCCAGGCTAAAGCAATCTGTCACAGTTACATTATTGCTGAGCACTCTTTAGCAAATAAGATTAATTTCTATCTACAAATACCTTGCAATTGATCAAAGAAGACAAACATCAAATAATCATAGCAAATTATGTCTGCTCTCACGATTTAGCAGACATAATTTGCTACAGGAGCATACTTAACTACAGTGATGATTCCAGAATTCAGAGAAGCCAAACAAGCAACATTTACTGTCACTAAACATTCACACATTTTATTTCATTCTATCTTTAAGTTAGTTTCTCACCTTGCATTTCATATTTTGCCAAGTAAAAATAGTCTTTAATCTCTGGAAAATTTTTGTGAGACGTATTAATAGGACTCCATGAAATATTTTAAAGACATATCTAGTTTATTCATTTTCATAATTTACCAACTCCTTCCTTGCCCCAAATTAATGATAAGTAATATGAAATGGGAGAGAAGTGGAAAGGAATTTTTACCCAATGTTTTATTTTACATATTAGGTACAAAAAACACGAGAGATTCATAGCAGGTTCTGGAAAAAAAGAAATCTAGCTTTAAATTATGCATTGTTCCCCAACATTCTTTTAACTCATGATTATGTAACTCTTTTAGGCATTATAATACCTTAGACCCAAAAGTTTTGCTAACTCTTAATAAT